AAAACATTTTTATTCTATTGATTGAAGTCAGTACAAGGCTTTAATGCGGAGTTGACTGATTGCTTGGGTTGGACAGCTGCAGTTTCCAGCTCACATTTGTGAAAAGGCTTCAAGCCTATGTATAGGAGAGACTTAACCAACATAAGCTTAGTGGGTGAGTTTTGGCACTTTGAATATTTTATATTAAGGGAGATGATTTTTCTACTATTTTTTTTTTTCAACTTACACTCCCTTTTATTTTTTAATATCATTTAATCAAATTTTTTATTTTTCCTATTCTACCCTTAATTTACATTAATTTATTTTCACTTCACTTTTATACCATTACTTTTTCTTTTTACTTTATTTTCGCTTGCCCTCATTTTTCAATATTTTTTTGGCTTATTTTTTGATATACCCCCTAAAAGTATATTTGAGTCTCACTTTGGCCCCTGAAACTCATTTTGTCTCACTTTACTCCATTTTCACACATATATGTCTCACTTTGTCTGGATTCCGGCGAGGCCCTAACCAACACCATCCCAACTCCATGCCTTCTTCTGGTTCTTCGTCCAATAGATCAAATCAAACTTTAAGGGGGTGTATTCAATTAGGATACTAGAGCGTTTAAAAAGATTTTAAAAATCCAGGTGTATTCAATATGGATTTATACAAAGTTTTAAAAAGTCTATAAAAGTGTGGGTATATTTAATCTAGACTTGTTTGAACTTTTAAAATGTCAATCTAAATGTGGGTGTATTTAATTAGGACTTGGAAAAAGTCCAAATAATTTTACCTGTATTCAAAAAGAGATAGATTTGGAAGGATTTAATTAAGTGTTGGAGTTTGGAGAATTTGTAGGGTTTAGGTATAAATAATAAAGGCCAACATAAGTCCAACCTCCACCCCAAAGATTTCATGTAACATCTCACATCGACTAACGGAGAGGGGGTGATGTGTCTTATATGTACATGCCCACCTCCATTTAGCACGAGGCCTTTTGGGAGCTCACTGACTTTGGAGTCATGAGAACTCCGAAGTTAAGCGAGTTGGGGCTAGAGCAATCCCAGGATGAGTGACCCACTAGGAAGTTGCTCGTGAGCTCCCAGAAACAAAACCATGAGGGTAGAGAGGGGGGCCCAAAGCGTACAATATCGTGCTACGGCGGAGTCGATCCCGGGATGTGACAATTTGGTATCAGAGCCACTCTGCCGTGTGGTGCAAATGTACCGACGAGGACGTCGAGCCCCTAAGGGGGTGGATTGTAACATCCCACATTGACTAACGGAGAGGGGGTGATGTGCCTTATATGTACATGTCTATCTCCATCTAGCACGAGGCCTTTTGGGAGCTTATTGACTTCGGAGTCATGAGAACTCCGAAGTTAAGCAAGTTAGGGCTAGAGCAAGCCCAGGATGGATGACCCACTGGGAAGTTGCTCGTGAGTTTCCAGAAACAAAACCGTGAGGGCAGAGAGGGGGGCCCAAAGCGGACAATATTATGCTACGGCGAAGCCGATCCCGGAATGTGACATTTCATACGACGATTTTTTTTTCCTCTTTATGTTAAATTTTTTTCCATCGTTTGGCAAACAATGCACTAAGCCATGCACTGACCTTGGGTGGTTACAAGCGTCATGTATTAAGCAATGCTCCTCCATTAGTGATTTCTTCAAATCAACAGTTGGAGTTGCTGGGAGGAAAGCTCAACTAGAGATTTCTCGATCTCCGATAAGTTCCCCTTGGAGATCTCTCAGCGTGAAGCCAACGTCAAGGCAGCGGAAGGTTGAGATATATTCCCATCACCCATAACACTACCAGATGATAGGGCTCTTGCTTTTTGAACAAAGGGTTGTTTTTGTTTTTGTTTTTTAATTTGAATTTTTGGACGAAGAGTTCGCTGTTTGTGAACAAAATCAAAGGGAAATTTTCAACTCTTGGAAATTTCAAAAGGAAATTCATTGTTTAGGTATGAAAGTTTCCAACTCATGGAAATTTCAAAGGAAAATTCATTGTTGTGCACACAAGTAGAGAAAGAATTTGGAAAAAAAGAAAAAGAAAAGAGGGATGGTCGACTAGTGGCTAGGTCAAGATAGTTTAAAGAAAATAGTGTTGGGAAGAAAGAGTGATAAAAGAAAGTAGTATTGGGAAGTCTATACAAATATATCTGAATCTATAATAAAAGTTCATACAAAAGTATGGAAGTCTATAATAAAAGCCTATAAAAGTTTATTAAAAATTCGGGTAAAACCTATAGGAGTTATATAATTCCAGGAAATCTGCCACTTAAAAAAAAAATTCAAAATCGTATACAATCCTAATTGAATACACCCCAAGATAATCAACTTCCAAAAAATAAAATCATAAAACCAAACCAAGTAATCCAAAGAATCATATCAAAAACCAACCCACCAAACCAAATCATACCCAACCATTCTTCAGCCACCCAACTTCCTCTACACACACAACATCAGTTTCACCGCAGCCTCCACCCCCAGTTCAACAACAACATCCTTCCAACCACCAAATCCACCCCCATCAATCCCTCACCCCATCACCCCAAACCCACCCAAGATTAATCTCCCCATCCAAACCCCCACAGTGGTAACTAATCAAAATCAATATATATAAAAATTGAAAAACAAACCCAAATCTCAAAGAGAGAGACGGAGAGATTGGTGGGTATGGAAAAAGAAAGAAAGAAAAATGGAGGAAGAGAGGAGGTGGTGGCTGGGGAGGGTGGCGAGGGAGGGTACAGGTTGGGTACAACACAGGAGGGGCTGGGTTTTTTTATATTTTTTGTTTTCTCTTTTTTATTTTGATTTTCAAAATTGAAGGGGAAAAAAAGAAGAAATAATATAAAAGTGAAGTAAAAAGAAAATAATGTAGAGTAAGAGCATCCACAATGATGCTCTCTATTTCTTAGCTAAAATTTGGCTAAGAATATAAGAAAGCTATTTTAGGAGCTCTCTAAAAAATGTAACTCTAACCATACTCCATAATTTGGAGAGTCATAAATGCTATAACTCTTTTTTTATTGGTCCATCTCTATTTAAAAAAAAAAATAGTTAGCTTTAAATAAAGGTTTGAAATACTTACTATATAAAGCAGCATTAAATTATAGGGAGCCACTAGGAGTCCTTTCTCTCTCCTCAGATTTAGGAGCTCCTAGATGACTCCATATTTTAGGAGGTGGAAGGAGAGAGAATAAAAAAAAACAAAATTAATTAAAAAATATTAAAAAATAAAAGAAAATGTAAGTGAAAAAAATGGAAGTGTGGAAATCAGCTCCTATGTTAAAGCACACTTTGATCTCAGATTTTTTTGTATTCAACGACTTTGTTAAGTCGGTTTGCACATTCATTTATGAGTGATGCAAGTGATGCAAGTGATGCAAATTGACTTCGATCTCAGAAAGAGACCGGTATTGACTTTGTCTCGTTATCAAGTGATGCAAATTGAATCAACATTTATGAGTGTTGACCAAATGCTTGCCCATTTTCAAGGGAAAGGGTGTTTTAAATCATCCTTGAAAAGTATGGTCCATATACAATTTTTTTAGATTTTAAATACGAAACTATTTTTAAAAAATAAATTTTTTATTTAGATTCACGTGTCATTATCTCATTGGATATGTGCACACTGCATACGTGCTACGTCATCATTTTAACAGAAATTTTGACGGAACCTAAAAGCATGACCAAATTGATATATGAAGAGTAACATAAACGACAAATAATGTCACAAAAAAACATAAAGGACCAATAATGTCACAAAAAAAATACAGGACCAAAGCTAATAATTTCACGAATCTCTCAAGGATCATTTGTGATAAAAAACCATGATAATTTTATAGTACCAGTGTTGACCCTAAACCCTAAACCCTAAAGCTAAAAAGAGTAGGCAAATCGAAAGAGAGAAACAGTAATTTAAATATATGTGAGAGTGCATGAGACAAACCCTGGTAGCTTAATGATGACAAACCAGAAGCACCTTCTATCTTTCTTCTTCATTCTTTCGTTGGCCGGGCTTGAGATTATCCAGCTTTCAATGGCAAAGGAGGTGATACGAATACCAGTTGGGGTAGTTATTGACTTGAATTCCTCTGTTGGAGCGATTGCAGAGAGCTGTACGACCATGGCACTCTCAGATTTTTCTGCTAAGCATGCTCATTATCGAACAAGGCTTGATCTTCGCATCCGGGATTCAGCGGATGATATTGTTACTGCAGCATCTGAAGGTGGATTAGACACTACCTTCTTTCCAGCTATATATTTTTGGCCACACACACATACACTCAGCCTTTTGATCTTAGCTAATTAATTTAATTCATTCACCATTTGTCTGTTGAATAAATGCAGCCTGGTATATGATGAAGAAAGAAAAAGTGCAGGCCATCATTGGACCTCAAAGGTCAGCAGAAGCAAAGTTTGTGATGGAGCTTGGCAGAAAGGCTAAGGTTCCCATCATTTCATTCTCTGCCACCAGTCCCTCTCTTTCTCCATCTCGCAGCCCTTTTTTTGTCCGGACATCCTTTAATGACTCTGCTCAAGTAAACGCCATAGCTGCCATCATTGAAGCTTATAGCTGGTTGGATTCTCGTCTATGAAGACACCGATTATGGCAATGGTTTAATTCCTTATCTGGCGGACGCTATCCAGGAGGTTGGTGCTCGAGTACGTTACAGAAGTGTCATTCCTCCATCTTCTAACTCAACTTCAACAAGAATATTTCTGGTGCATATGACTGCCTCCCTTGGGTCCAAATTCTTCATACTAGCAACGAAGATAGGTATGATGAGCGAAGGGTATGCATGGATTGTTACAGAAGGGCTATCAACTTTGTTAGATCCTGTGAGTCCGGAAGCCATGGATTCAACGGAAGGTGTGTTGGGAGTAAGGCCACATATACCAATGACAAAATATCTTGAAGACTTCATGATAAGATGGAAAAAACCAAACAAGATGACTGCAGGCCTCAATCTCTTTGTTATGGGCATATGATACGGTTTGGGCATTGGCAATGGCAGTGGAGAAGGTTGGAATAGAAAATTCTAGCTCTATGAAACAAAATGTTAGCACGAATCTTGCAACCTTGGGAACCAGTGCCATGGGTAAAACTCTTGTTGAAACAGTCCTAAGTTTAACATTTCGAAGGTTAAGTGGGAATTTTCAGCTAGTCAAGGGACAGTTAGAAGCTTCAGACTTTGAGATATTCAATGTGATTGGCAATAAAGAAAGGATTATTGGATATTGGATTAAACCAGAAAAAGTACTCTCAAGACATCCGAAGTCTGACAGCAGTGAAGCAGCAAACTCAGATGTAAAGAGGAAACTCAAGCAGGCAGGGGACACTACAGACCGGCCTGCAACAAAGAAACTTAAGCAGGCAATCTCCAAGGGAAATGTCAAATACCAAACATCAAATTTAAATTTGATAGCTGATGTGGCAATTTGACATCATACACAGCTTTACACTCCACCCGATATGTCAAATTAAATTATTATTTTATTACATTTTAGTGTTGATTTATTTTTAATTAAAAAGAAAAGAAAAAATAATAATAAAATATTCATTTGACATCTTGCTTTTGGGATGTCAAAAATAACATCTCAACCTCCAACCTTCATTCCATATCAGCTTTGACATATCGATTGGAGTGATGTGAGATATTATTTCTAGTTGTTAAATATTTATGTGGCACATTTGACATATCGATTAGAGATGCTCTTAGAAAGTAAATCTCCCAATTGCAGCTCATGTTGACACTTAGTCATTCCTATTAATTATTTAGTCTAGCAGCATTAGTTTGGAATTTAAAGCATCATTTATAAAATAATTAACTGGGCACATGAGTCAAAAAAACAGAACCTCCAAATTCTCTTCTCCTTATACCAAAACATTTGTTTTCTTCAAAATTCTCAGTGAAGCTTGTGGTCTAATTAATAATTCTTTTGTAATGCTATAGGGGAGAAAGTAGTGAACAATTGGTCAAGATTAGTGCTCATCATTTGGGTTTTTGTGGTTCTTATCCTGACACAGAGTTACACTGCAAGTTTAGCTTCAATGTTAACAGTGCAGAGATTGCAGCCTGTATTTACTAATATAAGAGAGATCAAAATGAATGGTTATAATATAGGATATCAAAAGGATTCATTTATTAAAGGGTTTCTAATGGACAATTTAAGGTTTGTAAAGAGAATATCACTCCGGTTCATCCCAGGGAATCAACTGATTTCCCTAAATCAGACTTGACAGATTCTTCCCCCCAAGATCAACGACATATTAGCTAGAATTGATTCATAACATATATGAGATTATTGTACTTACCATGTATTGCTTCTTTCTGTAAATAGACTTGAGAAAGTCTACTCTCTGTACATTATATACGGCTGCAATACAGAAACCAAATCACGCTGGTTGATTCAATTACTCTCCTCCTCTATCTCTCATCTCCCCTCTCCCCCTGAACTCTGTTTCTTATATGGTATCAGAGCTCTTCAGAGCCAAAGCTCACGTTTTTCGATCCCACCCAATCAAATGGCAAACACACCCAAGTCTGGAGAATCAAGTCATATTGATATGACAAAACTGATTTCTGAAATGTCAAAGCTTGCCTCACCCCCATTCTCATTCCCATCCTTGCCCACCTCTTTCAACATCTCATCTCTGTTCCCAATTCCCATGGACAGAACCAACTATTTGAGTTGGAAATCACAATTTGAAGACGTATTGGAGATGCATGGCCTTGCAGAGGTCATCAAGAAAACCACAGACCCACCCAAAGTGCAAGAAGATGGCTCTGTGCATCCTGAGTTCGCCAGAGACAAACTGGTCCTGAGTTGGATCAAGGCGACTTCCTCCTCTTCCATAAAGATTCTACTCATCCCGTGTACCACCGCCTATCAGGCTTGGAATCTTCTGGGCAAGCGCCTCTCACCCCTTGCAGGTACCCGTGTGCGGATCCTTCGAGACCAAATTCGCACCCTCAGGAAGGACAACACCACAACTGTGACTGACTACCTCAACCATGCCAAATCAGTTGATTCCCTGGGATGAACCGGAGTGATATTCTCTTTAATAGTTTGAAGAGTCCAAGTTGAAAGCTTTGGTAACCATTGAGGACTATAAGCATGCACTATCCAAAGGAACCAAAAATGGTGGAGTTGCTGCAATTTTCGATGAAATCCCTTACCTTAAACTGTTCATTGCAAAGAATTGTTCCGAGTACACCATGGTTGGACCAACCTACAAAACTGACGGATTCGGCTTTGTGAGTTCTCTGTCTTAATTTTCTTGGATTGTATTGTTATCCATAAAAACCCGAGTGTACAATGCTGCAACAATTGTTCCATTTCCTATATCCATATGCTAAATTGTTTTTTTGCCTTCTAATACATCAGGCCTTCCCAAGAGGGTCTCCTCTAGTCTCCTACATGTCAAGGGCAATCTTGAATGTCACTCAAGATAAATCTAAGATGGATTCAATTGAGGAGAAGTCCTTTGGAAATAACCAAACCATCTGTGATGATCAAAGTGCCAAAAAAATTTCAGACGGTCGAAGCCTTCATGTGTACAGCTTCGGGGGACTCTTCATCATCGCAGGTGTAGTCTCCATGTTTTCACTTTTGATGTACATGTACCGTTTCCTTTGCTCACAATGGCCTACTTTGAGGACCACGATTCATTCTGAGAACTCATTTTGGTGGAAAATGGTTGAATTGGCAAAGCATTTTGACAAGAAAGATCTCACTTCGCATCCTTTTACGCAAAGAACATCCAGAGTACATGCTATGGATACTCCTGATGATGAGACAGCTATTGGAGGTTTACGTGATGCAAATGATATGCAGAACAACTCAGTAGTGGAGAACAATATTGATGTGAATGAAAATGAATCAAATGATGGAAATCTCTTATCAGGGCATACTGATTCATCTATCCATGTACCTAACTTGTCATCATAGGCTTCCTATATTTCCATTTTAAACCTCTAAGTTACAGTAAAACTATATGTGTAAACGTCATGATATATTGTTGTTCATTCATATATCTCACATCATTACTTTATTATTTATGTACAGAAATCTAAATACCCAAAATAATTAGAATTATCTCCAAATGAAATGCTGAAAGATCAACAATCACTGAGCCTCCATTGTTCGTCCCTCCTGAAGGTTTCTAGGTAATGTCCAAACAAAACAAAACAAAACAAACCCTTCTCAATCGGTACAACTATTAAGTCTAGCAGCACTAGATAAGGTTTCGAATCTAAATTCATGGATGGGATTTTGTATATATTTGGAATATGTATAGAGCTTCATTTGTAAATTTCTTATCAATCCGAAGTCAAGTCAACTGAAAACTTGCAGCGAACTTGGTTGTGAGTTAATAGCCTAGCTAGAGCCCACTTGGTTGTAAGTTAATAGCCTAGAAGCTTCTTAATTCAATTCATAATACATCTTCATTTTGTTTCTAAGGAAGTCAGCAGAGGAAAAAGTTTCGTCGTTATTTGGAATCGCAGCACGATTTGTTTTGGTAATTTGATTTCAGGTTTGTGTTCGATGATTTGATTGAAGAATTTGATGTTGGTTTAGAGACGACTTAAGATCGTCCACTCTACAGTAGTTGTGCGGTAACCATTTTCCTGAATGAGTCCAAAAAAGAATCGCCAAATTCCTTGGCAGGTCCAGAATTTCTTAACGAAGAAGATATCTTCATCTGTGTCGTCTTCCATGCAAACACAGATATCTTTGGTCGCCTTGTGTGCCGTGTGGAAAGTACGTACTCAAGATGTTGAAAATTCACACACACAACAAAAACGTGAGAAATATTACACCAAGGCATATGCATATTTGCATATTTGTTGGGAAAAAAAAAAAAAGCAGATTAGCCTAGTAATTTAAGGATGATTAACTATCTGTTACAAATAAATTAGGTTCAAAGTGAGGCCTTTTAAATAATTGGGACATAATTTGGTGAATAAAATACACTATACATGCTATACCAACATGGACATGATTCTTATAAACTAATTTACTTATGTGCAATTAAATACATACAACTTTGAGAATGCCAAACCAGAAAATTAAACTCCAATAATGTACGTACTGATAAAGTCTCTAATGAAAGTTGCAATTGATTATATTTATACTGATTTTGGTGAAGTCGTACACATCATGACGGTAATGTTGTTGATATTTATAGATGAACTCATTTCACTTTGTATTCTGTAAGGGTCCTTTATGGTGTAATTAACCAGATGACTGCAAAATAAAACCAAGGAAAAATAGCTATATCTCAAACTAACCACACGATTGAATAATTGTGATTGATATTATATTTCTCCAAGAGGAGGAGATATATACAAGTACAAGTTAACTTTTCCTACAAAGAAAAGTAATTAGCTAATTACAAGGAATCCTAACTAGGAAATTATTCTAATTAGGAAAGAATCATTCTTTGACTTGGAAACACGTCAGCCAACTTGCATGCACGTTTTGGGGTCTTTTCACTTCCTAAAAACTTCTGGAAAACAAAAGAAGACAAATGTAGCTTGATCTCTAAGCTTTCCAAGCATATATCACCCACCACTAGGAAAAATCGGAAAAGTCTTCAAATCATCAATCTTCCACAACAGTGCAGTTCTGATGGGATTTCAAACTTAGGCTGTCTTGACTTGCAGGTCTGGAGCATTTGGCTTGGTAGAAAATTATGAAACTTTGACACAATAATCTTCAATGTCTTAGCTTTCTTCTCCATTTGGCCTTGCACTAAAATTCATTTGAAAAGTCGATTTTCAGTCAGCCCTTCCAAGAGCGCAGAATAGCTAAAAATAAGGAAAGGTAATAATGCTATTTTTAATTAACTTTCCCTATAAAAAAACCAAATATAAGAGATACACAAATATAGGAAATAATGCACTTATCAATAAGAAACTAAAATCCTAACTGAATATGAACTCACCAACAGTTACTACTAGGTCAAGCTCAATAAGAGGGATTCATTTTGGTGAGGGTGGAAAAGAATTGCATTGTTTGGAGTTTCAAAAAGTGGTTCAATGACCTGAAATATCTAATTTGAGATCCTGAAATATCTAATTTGAGATCCGATTTATTATTTTACTTGTAATATAGAATTAATCAACAGACTCATGACATTTTCTAATAAATAGTTCATTGTATAAAATAAAAAAATTTGTTTATATATGTAAGTATGACCTTCAATTGCAAGAGTCCTTAAACAAGTTTATTTGAGGGACAACCTTGTCAAGCTCACCTGCATTGTATTTCAATTATTCGAACTGTCTATTTTTTAAAATTCCAACATTCATTTCTTTGGTTGATTTTTTCTTTTCTTGGGAAGTTTGTTTCTCGTGTAATTTTATATGAATGAATTTCTTACACATTGAGGCAATCAAATTAAACTTCATGATGATTATGATGGTTTTAATGTCGATAGTGATGCTTCTGGCTTTTTGATAGAAACCTCCAGTCTCAAGGGAAAGGGTGTTTTAAATCATCCTTGAAAAGTATGGTCCATATACAATTTTTTTAGATTTTAAATATGAAACTATTTTTAAAATATAAATTTTTATTTAGATCCACGTGTCATTATCTCATTGGATATGTAAGTACTGCGTACGTGCCATGTCATCATTTTAACATAAATTTTGACGGAACCTAACGGCATGACCAAATTGATGTGCGAGGAGTAACATAAAGGACCAATAATGTCACAAAAAAAATAATTGACCAATAATGTCACAACAAAATACAAGACCAAAGCTAATAATTTCACGAATCTCAAGAATCATTTGTGATAAAAAGCCACGATAATTTTATAGTACTTTGGAATGTCAAGATACAATTTTTGTTTGTTTTTGCTGCTTATTATATTATTCAGTCAACCAGTACAAATTAATCAATTGATAAACTTATTTGTCATTTGCACTTATTTATAAAGAAGGGTAAATTACTCAAATGGTCCTCAAATTTGTACTCGATTTACATTTTGGTCCATAAACTAAATTATTTGTTCAAATGGTCCATCAACTCTTTATTAATCGGCGCTTTGGTCCTACCGTTACATTTTCTGTTAAATTTAGTCATGTGAGTAGCACATACTGTTGGCGTGACTTATGGATATTGATTTACTTTCCTTACACACCAAAAATTCTTATTATAATTGTAATTGATTTACTTTAATTCATGATTTCCTACTGTAAATAGATTTAGGAATTTATTATTTACTTGCCCATTCATGTTTCGTTGTATTATAAATATGACCTCATAGAAGGAGAAGAATACACAAAATTCCCACAAACAAATATTCTCTCATAGTTTTCATATTTTAACATGGTATCAGAGCGGCGATCTTGGAATTGCTGACTCTAGTTTCAAACCCCCGCCGCCACTATGGAAGTTGATGATTTTTTCAATCCTCATGGAGGTAGCACCACCGACTCCTTCTCTCCTTCTCAACCAACCATAGCTGAGTTGAGTGCCCAGATGGCTCAGCTCCTACAGATGCAGACTTTGGCCCCGAATCTGATCCTGAATCAGAATCCTATTTTGATGACCCCGAACCCGATCTGGAATCAGGATCCTATTTTGACAACCCCGAACCCGACCCCAACTATGATGACGACAACCCCGACCTCGACTCCGAAGATGACCCCGACCCCCACTCCGATGATGACCCCGACCTCGAATTGGTCTCTAATTCAAACCCCGACCCCGATTTCGACTCCGACTCCGGCCCCGACTCAGGCTCAGATCCCGATCCGAATTCCTACTCAACCTGTATCCTATGCATCTTCTGCTACACAGATTATGACTTCTCGACTAACGACCCCGACACATGGACCAAATTGCGCATATTGTGGTGATCCGAGACACACTCGTGATACTTGTTTTAAATTGCATGGCTACCCCGATTCGTGGGCTACTCTTAAGATCGAAGACAATGCAATACGACCAGTAATGGTATTGGTTATGGATTCCATACTTCCGATGCGATTGATTCCATGAGCTGGATAATTGATTCCGGTGCAACTGATCATATGACGTTTGATCCTAATGATTTTCTGAATACTACACAACCTCGACGAACCTGTATAACAAATGCCAATGACGTTACTTATCCTGTGACGGGGGCTGGCACTGTTGCACTCTCATCCTCTCTCACATTGTCTAATACTTTACTTGTTCCATCTTTATCCACTAAATTGTTGTCAGTTAGTTAGCTTACTCAACAATTGAATTGTTGTGTACTCATTTACCCGAGTTTTTATTTGCTTCAAGATATTCACACCAAGGAGATTCTTGGTCGTGGTACTAAGAGAGAGGGGTTATATTATGTCGATGACTTCAGTCCCGGCGTGGCTAACAGTGTGACGCATCCCTTTGATAGCAAACCAAAGAAAATATGGTTGTGGCACCGTCGATTCCGACATCCGTCTTTTAGTTATATGAAGCATCTTATACCAGATTTATTCTCAGGTTTCAAGGACTCTGACTTCACATGTGATACTTGTATTTTGGCCAAGAGTCACCATGTGCCCTACTCGTTGAGTACGAACAAGTGTACTACTCCATTTACGTTAATTCACTCTGATGTCTGAGGACCTTCCCCTATCACTGCTCTTTCTGGTGTTCGATGGTTTGTCACATTGATAGATGATTGTACACGAATGACATGACTTTATTTGCTAAAGAATAAAAACGAAGTGTTTTTCCGTTTTCAGTACTTCCACAAACAAATGAAAACTCAGTTTAATACTCAAATCCAGATTCTTCGCTCAGAAAATGGTGGAGAATTTGTCAATCATGACTTTCAGACTTACTTCCAACAACATGGAATTATCCATGAGACAACTTGTCCTCAAACACCGCAACAAAATGGCGTTGCTGAACGAAAGAATTGACATCTTCTTGAAACCGCCCGAGCACTTCTGATTGGCCCTTATGTTCGTCGCCATCACTGGGATGATGCTATTGTCACCGCAGTTAACCTGATCAACCGCATGCCTTCTGGTGTATTGACCTTTAAAACTCCCTTACTGGTGCCTGCGCAATACAGACCTCTGCCCTCTGTTTTGGTACTCACGCTCCGAATCTTTGGATGTGTGGCTTTCGTTCATCTCCACAAAAATCAACATAGCAAACTTGATCCCCGTGCGCTGCGTTGTGTTTTTGTGGGTTATGCCACTCATCAGAAAGGCTACTGCTGTTATCACCCTCCTACCCGACGTACCTATGTCACTTTGGATGTGACCTTTCTGGAATATGAGTTGTTCTTCCATGACCCATTATCCAATTCTACGCTTCAGGGGGAGATACGAAGTAAAGAGCAGAATTAGAGCAACTTGGAAAACGAAGAAATTCTCCTCTGTACAGAAATGATCTATCGTCCCGAGTCTGGAGTATGAGATTACTCTCTGCCGAAAAGCGATCAATCGCCCATTCATAGCGATCAAATGCCTGACCCACTTGATCCATGTGAAGATATTTCTGATCCAAGTCTCACACTTACAGACAATACAGAACAACAAGATGAAGACCCCCTTCTAACTCAACTGTACCAACATACCAATCTCTTGAGAATATCCTTGAGGTAATTACTCCTACTAGACTTGTGCACTTAGAGGATAAAACTATTGGATATCAATTACCTTTCAGGCAAAATCGTGGGAAGCCACCAAACCGTTATTCACCTGATATTGGCAAGACATCCAAGTATCCAATTGCAAATCATGTATCCACTAAGAAACTGTCAGAACCACTCAAGGCTTTTGTGCACCAGTTGTCTGCTATCCATATTCCAACCAAGATCTCTAAAGCATTGAAAGATCCTAAGTGGGTCGAAGCTATAAAAGAGGAGATGAAAGCTCTTGAGAAAAATCAGACTTGGACATTGGAGACTATACCACGAGGAAAAAAGACTATCGGATGTAGATGGGTGTTTACTATAAAACACAATGCAGATGGATCTATCGAGCGATACAAGACAAGACTTGTGGCAAAAGGGTACACACAGACCTATGGTATAGACTATGAAGAAACCTTTGCTCCAGTTGCAAAGTTAAACACCGTCAGAGTCTTATTGTCCCTTGCAGCTAATTTGGATTGGC